GACAGTCATCTTGGTGGAAGCCGCTGCCAGGTCCCTCCCCAGAGTGCCGGGTGAGTTCCCGGGCCAGCAGCTCCCACAGTGCACCCTCAGCGGGGAAAACTGAGCAAACTGGGACAGCGTGGAGCTGCCCTGTGGCTTTCCCAAGCTGGGCATCTTTTCCCCGGGGATCAGCTGATGGGCTGAACCACGGACCCTACAGTCACCCACTACACTACCTGGGGTCTTTCCTGTGTGAGAAAAAGCAGATGAAAAGAACTTTTAAATGTCTATTTTACTATTATTTTCAAGAATAATGAAGGAAAGAGTGCCAGATGACCAGATAGCCAATCAAATTCTCAGCTGTGATCATGAAAAGTACACTTTGGCATAAAGATGGACAGATTAATGAAACAAAGTTTAAACTTAGAAAGATAAGTATGTGTGAATTTAATGTAAGACAGAGAAGGTTTAAAGACAGTGAGGAAAAGGTGTCGTCAATAAATGCTGCAGAAATAGTTGATTAGGGTTTTTTTGTTTTGTTTTTAGTCATTTTATTGGGACTCATACAATTCATCACAATCCATACATACATCAATTGTGTAAAGTACACTTATGCATTTGTTGCCCTCATCATTCTCAAAATTCGCTTTCCGCTTGGGTTCCTGAAATCAGCTCCTCATTTTCCTTTTTCCTCTTTCCCTCCCTCCCCGCTCCCACCTCCCTCATGAACCCTTAATAATTTATAAATTATTATTTTAACTTATCTTACACTGCCCGGCATCTCCCTTCACCCACCCTTCTGTTGCCCATCCCCCAGAGAGGAAGTTATATGTAGATCCTTGTGATCGATTTCCCCTTTCTACCCCACCTTCCCTCCTGGTATTGCCACTCTCACCGTTGGCCCTGAGGGGCTCATCTGTCCTAGATTCCCCGCGTTTCCAGTTCCCATCTGCACCGCTTTGCATCCTCTGGTCTAACCAGGTTTGCAAGGTAGCATTGGGATCATGATAGTTGGGGTGAGGAAGCATTTAAGAACTAGAGGAAAGTTGTGAGTTTTTGAGAAAGAAAAGGAATCATAGTATCAACCAATAGATATATGTCAAAATAAATTTCAGGTGAGTGAAATGCAAATTTAAAATTTTTCTTTTAAAATATTCTAAAATATTTTGTCTTCTAAATGGGAAACAAGTTTATCAGCATAGGAAGAATGAAGGAATACGCAAAGGAAAAGCAGTGTTGTTTGATTACATTATGCAATGACTCTTTTATTGACTGTACATCGTGTGCCAGGCACAGGGAAACATGCAAAATGGAACACAGTGTGTGGCTGGGTGTTTTCTAAAACCACAAGCAAAATTAAAATACAAATAATAACATACTAATAAGAGGTTTTCAGTAATGTGTCCTTAACAAAGAGTCTGCATAAAAGGATAGAAGAAATACTAACATTCCTGCAACGATCACAAACTGACAATTCAAGGAAAGACAAAAACAAATACATTGTGGATTTTTTTCCACCAATAGTGCTCCAGTTGATGAGTAATCAAGGAGATGCAAATTAAAATAAGTTATCCTATACTCATATTATTTACAACATTCACAATGGTGTAGTGATGTGAGATCTGTAAGATACTGTGCTTGACAATAAAATCCATAGAAAGCAAAGCAGTTTTACATACTAAAGACCTTTTGTAAAACGTCACACTCTGACATCTTAGCTCCACAACTAGGAATCTATCCTTCGAAAAGAGCAATCGGAAACGCTGGCGAAGAGTTATACCCAGCACGGCCCATCATAGCATCACGTTTCAAGGGAAACAAGCAGGAGGGATAGTTTAACTGGGTAGGAATAGACATTGTTTGGGTGAATAATAGGATTTCTATTTAAAGGAATACAATATACTCATTTCAAATGATGTTTAGAAGTATTCGTGGCATGTCTATGATTAAGTGAAAAGATCAAAATATGATATTATATAATCAGTTAATCATCTGCAAATGTATACAACAAATTAAGAAGAATGCCAACTATGGTCTCTATGATAAAAATGGGGGTGATTTGTTAAAGTTTTCTCTACTCCACAAATTTCCTCTGCAGATATGCTATTATGTGGGCCAAAATGGGGGGGGGGGTTTAGAAATTAATTTCTATTGTTATTTGTGGCATCGCTTTTGCCTAATCACCATAGATCACTTTGTGTTAGTATTCCCAAAATGCTGAAAAGAAAAGGTGCTGAAAATGTTTTTTTCTCCAATGTTAGGGAGCTATGAGGAGGTTTCAGAAAAAAATCAGGGAAAAAACGAGAATGAACAGATAATGGAACTTTCCCCGGGAGCCTTTTGAAGCCCCCTTATAATACAAAAGGAGCCCTGGTAGCAGAGTGGCTGTCTGTTAAAAATGTTAACCTGAAATGCCACCTCCAGAACCGCATTTGAACCTGAGTAGGGGATGATGTCCTACAGGAAGTCAATGGAAAATGGTGTTCCATTTTAAAGGTGACCAAGCAAGGTAGCTCTTACAATGTTATTGTTAAGCAGAATCTGAGCAGGATTAAACCCCATAGAGTCATACTTCAGGGGCTTAGGTGGGTTACAGCAAAGCCCATTGCCATAAACAAGAAAGTCAGATTTTCTTCTTGGGACCCACTCATTGAACAGAGACAACTAAAGTCGAGGCCTGCACATCAGGAGCACAGAAATGGGGAAACCCACCTGTGTTACAGCAATGGGGCGTTGTTTCACTTCAGAAAGTGTGACTTACCATTTCTCTGTTCTCATTCAGTGTTCTCCCGCAGGTAGAGATAGCTTTACATTGGCCTTCACAGCTAACTTATCCTTCTTCCAAAAAAGAAGTCATTGTTACCATGTCAGCCATGAAAGAAGTCTTAATCTCTTATCACCTAAATGATGATTTTTTTCCCAATCTGGAAAATCTGCATTAAAAATTTGCATAGAAGAGTGGGTGGGCTGAGAGCAGGGGTGACCAAAAGTGAACATAGGAAACACGAAATAACTTTTTAATTTTTTTTATTTTCAGTGTATTATTTTGGGAGCAGGTACACAGTGCACCTGAGGGTATGAGTGGTTATTTTAAAGTAGATAGCTAGAAATCAAACAAGTGGCTCTCTTGGTGAATGAGGGGTTGACCTCTTCCAGGGACCCCTAGCAACTAAAACACAGGCAAAATTATTCCTGAATTACTTCAGCAAAATTTTCCAATCTGATTAATCCATCCCTCTCTACGAGCAAACCCCAGTGCCACATCTTCTAGCCTCTCCCTCACCTTTTAGATGACCCACCTTTCAAAGGACTCACAGACCATCAACACTATTTCACGTCAAGGTGTATAACTCTTGCTTTCTCTTATTTGGGGCTTTCGGATTCATCCTTCATTCTCTATGATCACTGATCACAGAGCCTGAAGTAAGGGGTGCAGTCGAGTGAGTTGTTGCCAGTTTAAAGTAAAAGAGAGACCCACCATGTTTGCTTTCTGTGTTTGCTGAGAATCAGTCATAGGAGCAGTAGTTGGGTGCAGCCAAGATAACATTGAAATATCCAGCTGCCTGTAGCTCGTTTCCTGGTAAACTATTGTAGAGTTTAAAGACTAGTGTGTGTGTGTGTGTGTGTGTGTGTGTGAGTGTGTGTGTGTTTCTGAGCCTTGAAATCCAGACTTGGACAAGGTTGGATTTAAATGTTTCTGAACTGAGGGGTCAGGCATATGGATGTTGTCCAAGAGAAGCAGCAACCAGCATATGGAACAATTCTCTAGCAAGACCAAATTGTGTAGAAGGAATACAATGGTTGACCTATTTGGCCAAGTCTTTCTTTTAATGAACAAACAGTTCCTGATATTTTGAACAATTAGGGTGGAAACTTTTATGCAAATTATAAAAGGTAGTGTGTGACATCTGAAAGACCCTCTGAAGTAGTCTCGTTTAGACTCCACCTGCTACAAATGCAAAAATTGTGCTTTACAGGGGCTGAGGAAGTGGCCCCAAAGCATACAGCAGGCTACAGACAGGGCAAGGAGCAGATCGCAGCTGTCCATGCGACCAAGCTGAGCTCCTTTGACTCCAGCAGCCCCGGGCCTCCGTTCGCCTTCAGTGGAAACATCTGTCTGCCATCGGGAGGTCCTTGTGGCATGAAGGAAAGGAAGAGACGGAGATTAATAAGTGCTTCACTTCTTCTTGTCCCAGCTCTGACAGCTGGGGGCTAGGGCATATGTCTCCAACCCTGCTTCCTCTTCTCAAAAGCAGGGACAACTTTGCCTGCCCCTGCCACTCCATATGGAGATGATAGACAGGGAGCGCCCGACTGGCGTTGAGGTGAGAGTCCCAGCAGTGCAAATTTTAAAGCATCTACCAATCAAGATGCCTGGGCAAGTTCTCTGATCTATGTGTACCTCAGTCCCCTTGCTTAAAAACCAAAGAGCGTTGTAACACTTGCCCCACCCAATTACTGAAAAACCAAAACGGGATGTTCCAAGTAAAGAGTGGTTCGTGAGTTGTCAGGAGACAGTGTGGAAGACAGAATTTGGTGAGAGATATGTAGAGACATTTAATTCTAATAGGGCTTAGCCAAAGTGGTCTCCCTTGTTGAACAGGGCCTATAGGAAGGGCTTATGGGGGTTCTTAGGGTGATGGACACATCAGCTCTCCACCCAGATAGCCATATGTGCACGGAGGGTCAGAAACAGGGGTGGCAAAGACTGGGACAGCCTTGGGGAAAGCCGTCCTTCCGTCCACTTCAACAGCTCTGCTCTCAACTCACTGGGCATGCGGAGCTCCACAGGGCAAGTGCCTCTTGGCGTGGCTTCCCTGACAAATGCAAAAACAATGTCCTTGAACCAAGAGTGAAACTGAACTATCTAAGGAAAACACTGTGAGCAAACACTGTGAGCTGAGGGAGACCATCTGATTAGAAGAGCTCCCCTCGGGAACACGCGGGTTTCGCCCCTTCCACAGGAGGAAGGCAGCCGCTTCTCCCGAGGCGGTGCCTGGAGGACACAGGCGACGGAGGCCATGTCCACCACCATATATCAGGTGGTGGGTTTCCTCCTGTCCATCTTGGGACTGGCAGGCTGCATCGCTGCCACGGGGATGGACATGTGGAGAACCCAGGACCTGTACGACAACCCCGTCACCGCCGTGTTTCAGTATGAAGGGCTGTGGAGAAGCTGCGTGAGGCAGAGCTCAGGGTTCACCGAGTGTCGGCCCTACTTCACCATCCTGGGCCTTCCAGGTAGGCACCATCCGACCCCACACCGGAGGGGCAGGGGAGGCCGGGGAAGGGTCTGTTTTCTCTCTGCACAGCGACAGGAGATCTTGAAAATCACCACCCGGCTGAGCCACACGCTCCCCTCCGGGTAAGACTCTGGCAGCTGTGGTTCAGACTAGACGGGAGAACGAGAGGAGCCGTTGACCACATCAGAGAGGGTGGCAGTCACAGAGCTATGGATAGCATGGGGGGCGGGGGGATTTCAAACAAAGGGGTCGCTAAAGAGTAGACTGCTTTCAGAACATGTTCATCCTTCATAGAGTCAGCTAACGTGTTTCAAATAGAAAATAAATTGTCTGGCTATGTGTGCAAGTGTGTGGTTGTATGTGTACATGATCCTGACTGCCCACCCTGGGGAATAGGGAAGAAATACGGTGAATATTTTGTTAATGCCACACACCAAAAAAAAGGAAATTGAGAGGTCATTTATTTCATTTGCAATTCAATTCAATTTTTCTTGGAAAAGTTGAACTCTCAGTGGATGCCAAAACAAATCTGATTGCTACTAACTTTTAAATACCCCTTTTCTGTATTTGTGTTGAAAAGTCAGGTATACAATGCTAAAAATCAATGTATGTCAAAATATGTATAACTATAGATGCAACAGACATACTGATGAACTAAGTTAAACTCCTACTTTTAATATGATGATTACCTCAAACAGGCATCGTATCAATTTTGCATTTCATCTATTGTCGGGGTGCTCACTGAATGCCACTTTCTTTTGTTTTTTAAGAAAGCAAAAAGAAAATAAAAGGTCAAGCTAATCAGTGGCTCCACGGGGTGCCATGGGTGTCAACAAGGTGGGGGGGGGGGAGACGAAAAGGGATCTGCCTCCTTTTGAAACAAACACCTGGTCATCAGGGGCATAGGAATCGATTTGCACAACAGTGAAGCACCCGGGAAGCTCTTGCCATTGGATTGTGAGGAGCGATTCAATGAACACCTCTTCATTTTCAGAAAGAAATAAAAGATGAGGGAGAGAGTAGAAGGACCTGGCTTTTATTCAAGTTCATTTTTGGAAGTTACTAGCCCTGCAGTGCCAACAGGACCTGGGACTGAAGGCAAAGACTTGCTGGGGGCGAGGAGGAGAACCTGGCGGAGGGAGGGAAGCCAGGCTGCCGGCCGGCGCAGTGAGCTCTGCCTTGTGTGAGGGGAGAGCTGGGAAGGGAAGAGATGCAAGAAGGATAGCTTGCTGGATTGCTAGCTAACCCTAACTTTAACTGTTAAATGAAGAAAACAGACCGATTTCACCTTCAAAATGACAGCCTGACTTCCCACTCAGATGTCACACACCTCGGTCTCAGGCTGCAGCTCACGTCATCAATCTCAGCTCACTCGCATCCTAGGGCCCAGATGTGGTGGTGGTGGTGTGCGGTGCGTGGAGTCAGCTCCCCATTGCTACCCGGTGCCCAACAGAACAAAACACTGCCCGGTCCTGCCCATCCTCACAATGCTTCCTGTGCCTGGGCCCATGGTGCAGTCACTGTCAATCTCTCTCCTTGACCAAGGGCCTCCCTCTTTTTCACTGCCCGTCCACTCTACCAAACATGATGTCCTTCTCCGGGGACCGGTCTCTCTGACAACATGTCCCAAGTATATAAGAGGAAGTCTTGCCATCCTAGCTTCTAAGGAGCACTCTGGCCTTACTTCTTCCAATATAGATTGGTTTGTCCTTTTAGAAATCCACTGTACTTTTAACATTCTTCTCCAGCACCACTGTTCAAATGCATTGATACTTCCACAGTCTTCCTCATTCAATATCCGACTTTCACAGCTTCCAAAACCTTCCCATTGTCCTATATTGCCAGTCCTTCCTGTGAGACTCAGTGATCCTGCCCTCCATTGAAACTTCTCATCGCTCCTCCTTCCACCTTGGCCACCCTCTCTGCAGAGAAAGGCTCTCTCCGCATCCCCCAGCCAAGGCCCAACCTGCTGCTCAGCCCCTCCCCCTTCCTGCCTTTTCCATCGCCCGCCCCCACTTGTCTAGACCCTCCTTTCCTGGGAATTCTTCCCTTGGTTCTGTTCATCGTCATATGCTGTCATTCTGCCGAGGTACCGACAAGCAAAGTAAACGGTTCCATCCGTCCACTACCTCGCCCCCTTCACCCTTCCCAATCTGGGGTCTGACTTGGTTGTTTGTACATTTGCTTCGTTCAGTGTCTGCGTTTCATGTTCCTCCCACTAGGTAAGAATTCTTTCCCCAGACTCCAGCAGAGGCCCTGGGACCTAACAAGCCTTCAGCAAGTGCTTGTTAACTGAACTGAACTTAATCGGAAGGATACTTCATTTTGAGTGTTCGTGTGAGTCATTAAAAGCAAGTCAAAGTGTCCCCGCAAAAGCCGGGTCGCTTGCCTGGTTCTACAATTGGTGGTTCTTGTGGCTCTGAGCCTCGCACAGGACTTCGTGCTCCTTCTGCCTCCAGCAAATGCATGTACTCACTCAGGCTGCTAGTCAACAAGTCTATTTTTTATGCCTGCTTTGTTACCAGCGTTGCAGGGGCCATCAAAGTCAACGTCGTTAGAATGAGCTTCTCCGTGGTTTGCTCCCTGACCCTAGTTGGGGGAGAGTGGCCTCTTCTTGCAGCTACACCAGTCAAGGTTGCTGAGGCAGGAGAGAGGCACACCACACCCAACGAGGGCACGGCCCCTGTCACTCCCAGTCACCAGCCATTGGCCAGAACAATTCATATGACCCCAAGGGCTAAGAGAATGGAAAACACATGGCTGTTTGATGAGCACCATTGTGCACACTGTAACGACATTTGCACAGTAACTTCCTGGGCTTCAAGAGAACACCTCGCTGATTTTTCTTCTCTATGGGTCATTCTTGTAACACCAATGACCAGCCCAGTAAGAGAACAAATGAGAGCACACCACTGATTTATCCTCATTCCTCACCCAACTATTATCTCATTTTTCCATGTATAAAATACGATGTGATACAAGATAATATATAGTGTGCTGTTTCAGAAGACAGACATTCCGGTCGGGGTGATCAGGAGAGAGGGGGGCTTTGTACTATGAGAAATTCTTCATTAGCAAGCATGCTAATGGCCACAGGAGAGGGGGGAATGCATACTTTTGATTTTTGTAACATCGCTTTTTCA